CAGGGGACTTGACGAACGAAAGAGGTTCATTTTGAGCCTGAACTTCATTCGAACTTGTTTTTGGACTTGAACTTAAGCCCAAGTTGGGTGACATGAAACATAATTTAAAACAAATTTTTTGATAAAATGACAACATCCAAATAAGAGCCAAGTGGAGAAATAGTGCAATGAAATGTCTACAATTAATAAAGCAAAATCTTCTTTGAAAATCTAGATATTGTCACTTTAATTGGGTGATAACTGCTTCCAATCCTTTTTGCAAGTATAATTTGACTTCTAAATAACAAGGATCATGAGGAATATGGCTTAATCATAAAGCTATAATGTGAGAGAATCCTTTGGATCATGATAATCCATTTGCAAAGGCGGACATGATACATCTCTAAACAACGATCAAATGGAGATGTAATGGCGTGCTGAAAATCAATGATACAAAGTTTTCATTCAATATCAAGAGGTCACCATACCAATTGAGACACAAGCATTAGTGAGCAAACAAAAGACTTGTTGAATATAACGAAAGATAAGTGCATCGTTTATGAGCAAAAGCAACGGGCATGTCAATAGCAACTACAAATAATGACTGATGACGAATGAGTTCTCTATATCTCATTCAAAAGCAACAAACACAATGATATTTGTGCGGTGAATAACTACTTAATGTCAAGTGAAATACATTGATTCTCTCAAATAAAAGTGACTAATATGCAGTAGATGTAAGTACCTGCGAGCTCTTATAGCAAGGATATCCAAACATCCTTGCCAGTCAACATACAAGGATAAATCAGTGGCAAGCACAACTCAACCAATTTCCAATAATAGCATGCAGGAATGTGTGTTGGTCTCCTACAAAAATTGGAAGACTAATGTGTACTGGACAAAGCTACCTACCAATCAATATGTATGAAGAAATTGGTGGCAAATGCAAACTCCTATGGATTACCGTAGGAGACTTGTGACATACACAAAATGACATCTCCAAATAGACACAGGAGACCGTCATCAAATTCAAACCTCTACGAGTTGCTAAAGAAGACTTATTTCATAGTTAACATTTCATTTGCAACTAGAGAAGGAAGATATGCAAGTGAATACATCAATTCACTGCACGCAAGGAAAGATGAGATGCATCAAATACAAACTCCTATGGGCCGTCACAGAAAATTAGTCATAAACATCACAAGGTGCAAATGTACATACAATGTCTTCTGTAGTCAAAGGAAGTATAGCTACAGTACATGCATACAAGGCCTTTGTGAGTTGTTACGGCACCCTCATATTCGACAAATGTCAATCAAATATGCCGATCATTTGCAAGTAGAGACGATTAGCAAACAACAAATGCAAGCGCCTACGGGCTGCTGTCAAAGATCTGCAACACATACAAGCTCTCTATAAAGACAGATGTACGTGCAACATGGGTAAATGCAGAAAGACTTCAGTAAATGCAGTATCCTGAAGTCAATTTCAGTCTGTGAAGAAATACATCTACATGTCCACTCACAACAATGACGGATGTATTACATGAGCCAAACAACTACAACGAATACAAGCATCTAAGAATGAAAGCAGGAGATTCGTCAGTGCACTACAATCTACCTGCGCAAATCATGTGGATAGTGCACGATAGTCTACCTGTACGAAGCAGCGAACAACTCTATTCAGAAGCTGCTACGCCACGCCACCGGATCCGCAACTTCTATCCAAGCGGACAGAAGGCGTCTACAAATATTTTCAAAGTACCCCCACGTACACCGTAGTTTGTATACACATAGGTACACTAAAAGGGGTAAAAGCAATTATAAAACCCGCATGGGCCCCGGCGAGCGTGTTATTGGTACACACGTGACGTCTAGGGATGCTGCGCGGGTCGATAAGTGAATTTAAGTTCGAACATGATCCTTCTATACAGATCAATAGGAGTCCACAGTGTTCGAACTTCAAACAAATGCACGACTGTGGCAACGGTGTATTTGTTTTAATGCATTTATATTAGGTCTTCAAAGCCTAAAATCAATAGAATTCACTAATAATGGCACAAAGCCTATGAAACCCGATCCCTTATCAACAAGTCGATAGGGTCGACAAGGTTTAATCAAGTGAAAGTGACCCCAAATATCCCGATGATAGCCGTGATGAACAAAAATCTCAACCGGAGGGGTCCATTCCAAATACTTCAAACGCCCATCAAAATTAAAATCTAAAACTCCATGAGTTTTGAAATCCAAAAAAAATATTTAAAATTGAAAATCAATCATGAAACACTTAAAACAAAATTCAACCACTCTCCGCAATAAGTTTGTCAGGGTGGACAAAATGAAATTTACTTCAGCTCACAAAGAGCTAATGCCTAGTCGAAAATATCACTAGGATCCATTCTCAAAACAGTCTCCTGCCAGTAAGGACGTGGTATGTGTCCTCTGACTGACGGTTTGCTGCCAAATGGCACCACAGGATAAACGGTTATGACCCGGGGCCCTCTGAACCGAGTGGTTTTGCCGCCAAATGGCACCAACAAATACCGATTATGGCCAGCACCATTACGTTCCTTATTGGCATCAAATCCTTGAGATATGAATCAATAGGATATGATTGATAGGGCACAAAGCAGAACTCAAATCATAAAGTCCTCACAAAATGAGGGCGAAATCTCTGGGTAGTGTCTTATCTATAAACCCATCTGCCTTCCAAAATTTACCTCGGAACTTATCCGTTAAAACTCCTTCGCCGAATAAAAAGAAAAGCGAGCGGAGGCTGGGGCCAAATTTTCGGAGCCCACACTAATATTAGTCCATATGATAAACGTAACATGTTATCATATTTTCTTGTATAATTGAACTTTATATTAGATTTATTTATCCTACTAAGCATCTAGCTCATCAAATATTGTAAATGTTGCTTTCAGGCAATGGGAAGGAGTAGTTGAGTATATAGATATGTCACTAATTTTGTAACATACCATAGCCTTTTGAGTGTGCAGTTTTGAATGTATTATAGAAGGTGTGTATAATGTGTATTAAAGACTTTTTATATATAAAAATTTATATTTAAAGTTTAATTAGAATCTTTATATTTGATTTGATGATTTCATTTATGTACACTTCCAAATCAATGTTTATGATGGACTCATTAAATGATTGTAAAGTATAATGCATATTTTTTTTTTATGATGACCAAAAATAAATTAAATTCTAACTTATTCAATCTTAATTAATAAATTCAGGAAGTGTGTTGGTGAGAAATCTATCAGACTGGATTGTCCAACTTCTGTTACACCTCATGGTTAATTGTAGGGATCAAAAAAGAGCTCAATTGAAATTGACATCATAGTAGGTTTAAATTGTAAATTATAGCATAATTGGATTTGAAATGAAGCTGAGAATGAAATTGATTATATAGAGCTATAGATCGATCTGATTGGGTTGATGATCTAGTCCAAGTTTAGAAGTTACATATGCATAACAAGATCATCATACAATAAATTGCATTAAATAAGTAGATTTATGAATTTACAAATATGTCTGAAGAAATGCCATAAAGAATGAATGCTCAGCCATTAGTCCAGGCACAAAAACTAAAATATAAACTAAGGATAATTCAAATAGAAGTTAAGTTCACAATAGAAAATATGAGGAGGTCGAACTCAAAGAGTTACATGATGTAAACATAGATATAATATAGCTATGAGTTTATGTATTTTTGTATGTTTTTATGTTTGTTATAAGATATGTTATAATATATCCATGTTTATGTATAATATAGTAATATGCTATGTACATATATGTTGTATGTGCTTCTATAATTTAGATAAGATTTTTTAATTTGATTAATGTTCATGAAGTTTTTTTTTTTTTTTCGTAAGTATATGAGCCAACAAGAGAAAATTTTGACTTATTTATATGACAAGATGAGTCAATTAATCGTTGAGAATGCTCAAGCACTGCTCGTTTTCACCCTACTCTTTACTCTTCTCCCACAAACCATAGGACACTTACAAATCTCCATCCTCTAGTTCATCGAGCATGTAGCCCTCAACTCCATTTCTTTCCTTTGTAATGCATGTCATAATGTCAGAGGAATGCTCGTCAATGTAAAGCTAACCCCTAGACTACTGGCAAGAAGTTCCAATCAGCCTCCCACACCAATAAGCTCGGTTAATCGCTTATGCTCGATGCTACAATCCCCACATCTATCTGCAAAACATATGTTGACTTCAAATCCTCATTTTCAGCCTTCAAACCCCTGAGCCTCTCCAATCTCCACATTTTTTCTCTTTTCACAAGGCCTCTGGACATGACTATGCCTCTAGCCACCTTACTAACATCTTCATAGATGGTCAACTTACACACATCATCATCAACCACTAAGGCAATTAACAATCCTCTATTTCTCAAAGACCTATACACCTCTATGATCCCATTTGTTCTCTAACAACAACTGCGTTAATAACCTTTGTGCCAACAACATCATTCTCTTCATCAAAGCTCTCTATCAATTTTCTTCATCGAAGATATTTCTAATTTACTATGATAACACTTTTTAAGGATTTTATTCCAGCATTCTTTAATATGGACCTCATTGTCAACTATTTGTATGTCTAATTCGCACCTCTTTCTTTCATGCATCAATCACACTCCTTTAACAACAATTACAATCTCTACGCAACAAAACATTCAACTACTTCATCTCTGGTCACTACTATTTCTAAACTGAAATTAACATCTTCTATGCTTCCTTAAGTCTGAAGGAGTGTTATCATATCTAAATTATCACATGTGCTAATAATTTATTTCTATTCTTATTATTAAATTTCCTCATTATTAAGGTTTGTATCCTTTAATGCATTTTCTCTTGATTATGGTCACCTTTTACCCATATATGTAGAATAGCATTTCAGTAAATAATTAGACCTTCCCGGTTCTGTCCCTTCTAACAAGTTTGATTAAAAAATATTAGCAAGAACTTCATAAACAATCAATATGAAAGAGATGAGTACATACACGATGCAAGAACTTTTCACCAGCTGAACGAAATAATCGACAAATCTCCCCTGGCACAAATGCAGGTCCACGTTCATAAGCCCGCATGCCACCTCCAGAGAAATAAGCAGCTATTTCCTAACAAACATCAGACAAATTGTCAAATAATGAGTCAACTAAAATAAGCATCAATACAAATATGAAGTTGGGCTTTCATTAAAATGTTTGAAAAAAGAAATGACTTGGAAAGGCAACGAGTTTCCTACCTCTGTTACTCTAGGAATGGCAGCGTGTTCTATATAAACTGAAACCTGGGCAAGCACCAGAACAAGACCAGTTTGCACTCTCTCTGTATGTACTGAATCATTGCTCGAGTCCTTAGTGGACAAATTACCACTCCCACAAAGCAATAGAAAAAGTTGGTGAAGTTTCTGATAGAAGTCCTGGAAGCCTTCTTGAACCCAATCTCTAAGCAAGTCCCTCAGCTTTACCAAGAGCTCCAAATTATCATCAAGAAGTTGGCGAAATTCCTGAAAACATCAATTAGAACTTCAAGAAGATAAACTTTCGTCCTGAAAACATCAATTAGAACTTCAAGAAGATAAACTTCTACAGGAAACTGGGTGATGCAGAATATTCAAAAATCATATATGGCTATAGAAAGTATTGGCAGGTGCTGGGTTTCATGTAGTGGGTGCACCTTTTTATGGGTAATATGTCATGTAGACATGCAAATTTCCAATCATTTGATTTAGAGGATAGTGAGTTTCTTTTTTATTTTTTTTAAATTAGCATTACATTTTTACTCGAAGTGGTGGATGCAAAGTAAATTAAACATTTAAACATATTTATCTTAACCAAGCATTGGCTTCTATCAATTACAGATAACATTTTACCAGGGTTAAATTTAAGAAAAAAATGTACGTTGATTGATGATAATGACCGACTCTTGTAAAGATGGAAGCCAACCTGAAGTAGATTAGGTTCTTACCACTAGGAGGTCCATGCTACCCTGAAAAATTGCCTTCTTGCTGCCTTCTAATACAATCTGCAATGGAGATTCTTCGGATCCATTTATCCTAGGCTGAATTCTGATGAGTTCTACCAAAATAACAGAAAAACATGAATTATTTTACTACAAAAATTTCAATTAATCAAAGCATGGAAGATTTAAAAATGGATTCAACTGAGTAAAACCAAGATTCACATGAGATTCAGAGTCATACGTGAAGTATGTGCATATTGCTTTTTGGTCATGTAGATTCAAAGAAAAGCAAATAGGTTAAAGGGGTTCACAATTCAGTTAAACTCAAAAAGAAATCAAACATAATTTCAATTTATAAATGAAAATTACAAAAATATTTTTGCAAAATTGCACCATGTAGAAAGATAGTATTTAAATCCATCAAAATATTTATTTCAACTGTTTTGGATTGACCCCACAAACAAAGCGGCCATTCTTCCAGGTTTTAGTCAATTGTGGATTTATGCTAATGTAACATATTTCAGTCACATTGCCAATAAATTCTCAAAAAAGATTTTTTCTTATTCAACTCAAGTTTCATGAATTGGAACCAATAGAAAGCGACATTTTTTAGACCATGGTGGAATCCTCAGCCAAATCAAATACATTTCATCTAAATACATCCTGTCACCCCAATTGCACCATTTGTCCCCATTTTTGGATTTTCCCCCCTTTTTAGTAGAGCATATATCTGACACTTAGTTCATTCTTCAAAACGAGAAGAATACGCCTCAGGAAGCTCAAAAAAGGAATATAAAAGCTCAACATCAAAGAGAAAAGTCTCCATTTGGTTACTAACCCAACAGGTCGTGCAAGCCTCCACCTGCACCCAACCAACTATATTTTATGCCTAGCAGACCGAACTAGACTGTTTAAAGGAATATACAATACATATTTAGTATGTTTTGAACCTCTAACCACCTCAACCATGTAACTGAACCAACTTACTCATAATTACCTCGATTTAGCAAAAGATATTTTAGTTGTTGGATAGATCTTTTGATTTGGTAGGGGCTTGTGGTTGAAATCAGATGCAAAGCCAAACCAACCACTAAAAACAAGATGAGGAGTTCAGGGATTATTTGACTGGAATCGCTCTACCATGACAAGTATGAAGTCCCCTTTTCTTTCCTCTCAACAAAGTGCCTGTATCAAACCTAGTATAACCCAACTTCATGAGGTGTTAAAATTACTTAAGAAAACCGATTTTACTACTTCTAACCATATTAAATTTGGTTCAACCATTTTCTATATTCCTTTTATATTAAATATACCAATCTACCTTACAGTTACGAATGAATAATTCAGTAATTATCAGTTATGACTTTTATTTAAGTTACATAGCATATGTTTGCCCTTTCTTTAAGATTATTGCCATTTTAATGAGCCATCCCTAACTTTTGCTAGAAATCGATGATTTAATTTAAACATTGCCTAGCTTGTAAGTTCTTTAACGTTTTACAGATCAAGTGAGATATTTTTATTGAGATGGATTTGAATCATAGGACCACAGAATTCTAGACGTTTGAATGTCGGTTAGTTGGAGCGAAACATGAATCATTAGACTTTGTTTTAGCAATTTTTGGATTGATTAGAATCCTTGGATAGGAATTTTCAGATTTAGTAGTAAAAAAAACCACTTCATGTTTATGAGAAAATTTAAAAATGGAAGTATGAAATTTGACTTCCCTTGGATGATTTAATTTTCTTTCTTTTTTTTTTTGGCAGAAAACCGAACGAAGTATAATATAAGTACAATCCAAATGCCAATTTTTTATTGATAGATAGTTATTAAAAGCCTCAATAAATTGTACCACATAAACAAGAGTATCCACAAACTTCACGCTCACCCAAACCCCACCCCCATCGTCTAGCCTCTGTTGGATGTACTCGTATGCTCAACCATCAAGCCTGCGCCACTACACTCAATCATGCTCTATACTCGCTGCACTCGGCCACACTTGCGAGCCTTCCTCCTCACCAACTGTGATATTCATATGGCCTCACACTTGATGCACTCCATACTTCTTGTCATCACATTAATCACCCTATAGTTTCTCCATTTCTCTATGGGCTGCAAACTCCTTGCGATCATATGTTGACTTCATGCTTGATGCCCTATATGAAATCCTTGCTATTTCCATCTGATTTGTTGCTTATAAGCTTTTTCTCATTAAAATCTATCTGACATTATGCTTCCTCACTACCCCTAACTCGAGGGCATGCATTGGGTTCCTTATCATCATCTCCACCACCTACCTCTCAGGCTATTTCTCCTTTCATGGCTATTCCTTCACCAACGTTGGCTCAACTGGCTGCCCTATCCCCTGCAACTCCTCTTGCGGTCCAAGTGCCTTCATATGTTGCTTCTTTTGTTACAAGCGTTCCTCCATCCTTTGCAGAAGTTGTTGGGGTATTAAAAGCTTCAGGATCTCATCGGATTTTGAGTACCTAGTTTCCATTATTTTTTCATCAATGTTCAAATCCTCATCATAAAAAACCTTGCATATTTCATGATATCAGCTCTTATTTTCATTTATTCAGAGATATCCAAATTATGCTGAGCAAGTTCTTGATGGGATGTCCCAAACTTGATATTATATGCTTATTGATGTAGACAAAGGGGGGTGGGGGGGGGGGTCAACCCATGTCCAAAATAAATCAATTTTGGCCTCCCTCGAGTTTACAAGCTCAATCTATTTGAGCTAAAATTTTAGCTCATTTATGAGCTGGTCTTTAGTTCATTTATTGAACTAAGGGTTAGCTCATTATTAGCTAAGTTTTAGTTCATATTTATCTTTTATTAAATGTACTTTTTATGCTTTTTATGTTTTTCATTATAGTTGTCTCTTGGAATTCCAAACCGGCTTTTGGAATTCCAAGATTTGCTTTTCCCATGTGTGGCCCTTGGCTTCCACCATGGGGTAATGTTTTTTTGTGCTTTTGCCCCTTGGATTTCCGGCTGGCTGCTGGTTTTCCGAGCCTGGGTGGTTTCCCGTGGCTGTGGCACCTTGGTTCCGTGCGGCCTCCTTGGCTACCGCGATTGCCCCTTCGGTTCCTTGGCTTGGGCTGTTTTTTCGTGAAAAGCAATTAGGTTTTTAATGTTTGTGATGTTTGGAATTCCTATGTGAATTCATTGTTTGTGTCCTTTGGTATTCCCCTTTCATACCTATAAATATAAGGGGTTATGTATTGTTTAAAATAGTTGAATGATATGTGATTTTTGGAAATGTAAACCTACGGGTTTCATGGAAAAGCTTGCGAGCTTTGTCCGTCTTCTTTCTCATCCCCTCTGGAAATCTTGCAAGCTCTTTCCAACCTTTCATCTTGGCTTCTAATCTCTTCGTCTCTCCGCAAGTGCCACTCCACCTGTATCTTTCTTCCAAGTGCAGCAACTTTAGGGTGTCTTTGGTTTATGAGTCAAAGTTTGTAAGTCGTTGTAATTTTGTGTGTTTTGTAATTTCTTCTTTTTAGTTTAATTGTAAGAGTTTGTTCTTTCTTTTGTTCTTTCTCTTCTTCTTCGTCATTTCGTGATTTAGTGGGTCGTATCGGTATTCTCATTCGTGCGGGCGAGGGGTATAGGCTCCCTATATTTCTTGTCCCAACCAATTTGGTATCAGAGCAAGTTAGGAAGTCCTAGGTTTGTGTGTTTGTCAAGTTGTAGTCAAGTCAAGTCATTTTGTTATGAGTCTTGTTGAGTCTCTAAAAGAATTGTGAGTCTAGAGTTTTTTTTTATTCTTTTTGTGAGTCAGTCAAAAAATGAAAAATATCAAAAATATGGCTTCATTCATGGAAGAAAGCGATCAAAATAATCCTGATGTCCCACTCTTGTTGGACAAATGGATTCCTACCGAAGGCGATTCAACAGATCCGCTTCAAGACCGTTTATACAAGCTTCAGTATCACATGTTCCTATGTGATCAAAAATTTGAGAAGTGGAAAAGGTACCTACAACAACAATTCGAGAAGGAACAGGAAGAAATTTTGAAGAAATTTGGTGAGAAAATCAAAGAGCTGGATGATCAGTATGCACCTCCTCAAGAGAACCCAAAGCTAACTCATCGGGAGATGAGTTCTTCAAGAAGGGGAGAATCCGATGTAGACAAAGGGGGGGGGGTGAACCCATGTCCAAAATAAATCAATTTTGGCCTCCCTCGAGTTTACAAGCTCAATCTATTTGAGTTGAAATTTTAGCTCATTTATGAGCTGGTCTTTAGTTCATTTATTGAACTAAGGGTTAGCTCATTATTAACTAAGTTTTAATTCATATTTATCTTTTATTAAATGTACTTTTTATGCTCTTTATGTTTTTCATTATAGTTGTCTCTTGGAATTCCAAACCGGCTTTTGAAATTCGGAATTCCTGCTTTTGGAATTCCGAGATTTGCTTTTCCCATGTGTGGCTCCTTGGCTTCCACCATGGGGTAATTTTTTTTGTGCTTTTGCCCCTTGGATTTCCGGCCGGCTGCTGGTTTTCCGAGCCTGGGTGGTTTCCCGTGGCTGTGGCGCCTTGGCTCCGTGCGGCCTCCTTAGCTCCCGCAATTGCCCTTTCGATTCCTTGGCTTGGGCTGTTTTTCTGTGAAAAGCAATTAGGTTTTTAATGTTTGGAATTCCTATGTGAATTCATTGTTTGTGTCCTTTGGTATTCCCCTTTCATACCTATAAATATGAGGGGTTATGTATTGTTTAAAATAGTTGAATGAAATGTTATTTTTGAAAAAGCTATAACCTGCGGGTTTGCTTGGATAAGCTTGAGAGCTTTGTCCGTCTTCTTTCTCATCCCCTCCGGAAATCTTGCGAGCTCTTTCCAACCTTTCGTCTTGGCTTCTAACCTCTTTCGTCTCTCCGCAAGTGCCACTCCACCTGTATCCCTCTTCCAAAAGTGATGCAACTTTAGGGTGTCCTTTAATTTCGGGTCAATTGTAAGTCGTCGTAATTTTGTGTGTTTTGTAATTTCTTCTTTTTAGTTTTATTGAAAGAGTTTGTTCTTCCTCTTCTTTTTCGTCATTTCGTGATTTAGTGGGTCGTCGTTCGGTATTCTCTTTTGTGTGGGCGAGGGGTATAGGCTCCCTATATTTCTTGCCCCCACCACTTATTCATGCCAAACTTTGGCTAGAAAGTATTTATGCTCCTTGATCTCGCTTTAATATTATCAAACTATCTGTTGAAGCAAATTACTCTAGATTGTTTTCATGGTGATCATATTATGAGTCGTTTCAAATGGGAATGTTAAGGTGCTCTTCCTCATTTTGACTCATCCATAGAACATCAAATCACACCAATATAGATTTTTTTTTAATCGACTTTGGACTTTATCTTTCATTCTTTTGAAAATTCTTCCAAATACATGTTGTTACAGCTTGCCTCCCTAGGCTATCTATGGCTAGGGTTCTAATTGCATTGGATGTTGCTAGACCTTTGGATAGTGAGATTTAGATTGGCTCATTATCTTATGATTATTGGTTTAAGGATGTATGGAATTGTTCCTTCGTATGGTACCACTAGTAAAAATTTAGGACATGACTATTTTGATCACTTCAAAGCTCATCCAAAATAAAGCAAACCATTTGCTATCGATCATTGTTGTTAGGAACATCAGAAGCATGCAAATGATCAAAATCTCACTTCACCTTGGCGAGAACAATACCATCTTCTTCAGCTCGGGACGTAGACAAAATATGGAACAAACTCTAGATGATATTGTGGAATTAGAGCCTTCAAAATCTAGCCTCACTAAAAGAAGTCTTATGAAAAATAATCTAATCTCTTATGCATCCAAAAATATTGTTATAGATCGTCCATAAGAGTTAGCCCCTAATCCCATTACTACCGTAAAGGATGTTCAAGCCATTAAGTCTGTGTAACTTTCTAATTCAAACAATATCTTTTGAGTATTGAGTATTGAAGCCCATAGAAGGTTTCAAATCTTATTTTCCAGGTGGGGCAAAAATAAGAAAAAGAATTACTAAAACTCTCCAATATTCATTAGGCTTCAAGTGAGGAGCCACAAATGAGAGTTTATCGTGGATCTCTCCACCTATCATATGGATATTTTCTATGTCATATTGTTATCCTTACTTTTCTTTTTGCATTTATATTGTAAAATATCATATCACTCTAATTGATGCTTATTTACATATTTCATTATTGGGTTATAATTGTTCTTAAAAAAAAAAGAGAACCCACAAGCTTTAAAGAGCTACTGATACAACAACAAATCAATAACTAGGAAGCATACGGCCAACATTAAACTAAATAAAGGAAAGAAAAAGCAGAGAATTGACAGCAAAGCCTAAAAAATTGGCCTCCTAGTCCACAAAAAAAAAGTTACATTATAAATAAAACACAAAAGAAGGATATAAGTAAAAATTCCAGAGAAATGCTTTAATCTACTATGAATAGAAGATCTATCATTATAACTTTAGTTTAAATAGATGGGAGAATCACCTGAGATTTCTTTTAGAAGATGAGAGAAAAGTGTCGAAATATATTGTCTGCATATACCGCTAGCTGCCTGAGATAAAAGGAAACCAGTCATAGAATCACTGTCCAAAGTGAACGTGCAAAACATGTTGACCAACTATATAACCATTGGGAATGAAGCCTTTAAAGCATCGTATTGAAAAATAGTGGCATCATATTCAGCTCACACAAAATGAAAGAACTAAGCGGGTGGATGTTTCAAAAGCGGAGTTAATGCACTGGGAATGTTTGCAAAAAGAAGAAAAATGTAAAGGGCTAATTACGATTATTTAAGTGAACCTAATACACCTGCAGAATAGTGCATAGTAGATAGCAACCAGTTTTCAATAATAGAAATGAAGACAAACCTCAAGACAATGAACTGGAAGAGCGGCTTCCGGAAGCACTTCATCCATGACATTTATATCATTCCAAATATCCCCTGCAATGAATAGGTGGTAATTCCCGAATTTTTTGCTAAATAATGGAAAAAATCAATACATTTTATGCCTTATTAAATACATAATAGCAACATGAGCAAGAAATGTGATATAGTCCTCAGAAAATGATAAAGATCTTTCTAGGAAAAATAATAAAGTTTTTTTATAATTGAAGTCCAGAAAAATTCAAGGTGAAAGATAAGACATTTATAGATATTAAGCAAGCGATTAAAAATAATTAGATCTGCCACAATTCAGATATTATTAATATAACAGTCAGTACGTGTCTTTAAGGTGAGCAGTGCCTTACAAAATAAAAATGTCAGAGAACAACTATCTGAATTTCCATAAAGTCCTATAATTCTAATTGGAAGACAAAAAAGACAATGTTGTATATAAACACTCCAGAAGTCACGATATCCATCTCATCTAAAATAAGTGATTCTTTAATGGGCTTGTCCATTCCATTTCTACATATTATTCATTATATGTTAGTGAAAAGCTGTTTTGACTTTCTGTTCGATTCAAGAATTTACCTAAATTGTTTCCACAATAAATGAGTTGTTCTGAGGAAAAAAAAGAATTATGGAGATAATGAATGCATGCATATTTTAAAGGATATTTCTTTCAAACTTGTTTCTGGTATTGATTGCAGTCTGAATAATTAGGGAACTATGAAACAGCCAAGTATTGTAGATTAGTCTTAATCCACCAAGATAGATGATGTTACGAGAGTGTTCAACTTGTACTAAGTTTGCATCTGTGGGCTCCGAAAATTCGGCCCCGGCCTCCGCCCGCTTTTCTTTTAATTCGGCGAGGGAGTTTTAACTGATAAGTTCCGAGATAAATTTTGGAAGATAGATGGGTTTGTAGATAAGACACTACCCAGAGATTTCGCCCTCATTTTGCGATTGTCAATGCCAATAAATTATGTCCAAACTTGATTTCCATTACCTTTGTTATTTGATTATTACTTTCTTTTTTTCATAATAACTAGTGTGTCTATTTATTCTAAACTAAATGATGCTCTTAAATGCACTAATCATTTATGCCTGGTGAATACAATACAATTTATATTGCTTGATTGTCACAAGCCCAAGCTTCTTATGCATCCCCCGCCCAAGAAAATGAGCTATTGTTTTATAAACCCTTCACATGCGCTGCATTTAAGAACACACAAATGACATATAATCAACAAGTTTTATTTTCACCTATACCCTCATAAGCCTCAAATGTTCTTCAAATTGGAATTTTTTCCTGAGCATTTGCATGAGATGTTTGCAGGTAAGAAAGAAAAAAATGCAAGCAAAACAAACAATTAAGTATTTAGCAATTCAATGTTAAAGTCCAATTTCATCACTAGGCAATAAATGTCATCCTGCATAAAAGAAATATGGAGTTATGGACACAAGAAATGTAATTGACTGTGGTTTGTGGTTAATATTTTATTCTTTTGGACTTGGGCAATGTTGTTTGGTTGTATCCTTGTGGCCTACATTGGTTGTGAAGGATGGTATTGTTTGTATTTAAGCGTTGTGGCTTTTAAAGTTTAACAACACTATGTTATACCAATTCCCCCCAATCCCAAGATTAGTCCTCGTGTACAATTTTTGTGGTTTCTCGTTCAGAGAGTGGACTCTATTACAAGGCATGTGTTTTCTCCATCTTTTATTACCTTCAACTAGGCTATTGGGATTTGCATTTGGTATGTGGCTAATGGGACGAGTTTGGATTCGAAATTAAAAGCAAGCAAAACTTGTTCTTATCTTGTGGGATTTTAATTTAAACAAGGAATAAGCTCGATCTTGTATCAAACACATATATTAGCCTAGGAGACGAGATGTTATAAGTAGTTATTCTGAGACATTTTGATGCGGACATCCGACGGTGGACGTTAATCAAAGGAAGAGACGAAGATCGACGGCCGAGATCACTCCATTTATCTTAGTTTATTAGTTGTAATTTTTATTTAAATTATGCACTTTCCGTTTTCTCCTATGTAAGTCCAAGGGGCAAAGTTGTCTTTTATTTTTTTATAAAGCCTATATATAGAGGCCCTTGCTCTTATATTAGACAATGATAGATTAATAAAAAAATTATTCCTACACTTTGTTCTTCAGAGCGATGGGAGTTCTTAGGAGAGTGAAAGTCCCTATGTGAGGGTAATGAAATACCCACCAGCCGCAAGATGTGTCCGGGCTCGTGGATGAAGTCCCTTGGTGAAGGGTAACGCAATACCCGTTAGTCTTTGGAAAAGTATGAGACTCGCGGTTTTTTTTGTCTTTATTTATTCTTTTTTTTTCTAATTGTCATCTCCATCCTCTCTCCAATCCCGCCGGCTTCATCCCCTCCACCCAAACTCGCCGGCTTCTTCCCACAACCCTCTCTTCTTCCCCAACGAAATTTCCCATCCCCATCCTAAGCCTAACCGGTCATCTTCCTCCCCTCTCCAAATTCCCTCCATGAATTTTGAATTTTAAAATTCAAACCTCCCTAAATTACCTTCCTAAAATAGCTCATATCAATTTGGAAAGTGTCTTTATTTGAAATCAATTCTCCTTTTGAATTTCAAATACTTTCCTCTTTGATAATCCTTAATTAGGAATCCTCCCATAATTTCATCTTGTATTCAAAGCCTTCCTATTTTATACATCTTAATTTGGTAACAAATTTGAATTCAAAATTCAAATTAATTTGAATTTGAATTTGTTTCCTAAATTTGGATTTGATTTAAATTAATTAAATTAGGAAAGTTGTTTAAATTAGGTCCAATTAAATTTTTGATTGGATTTGATTTCAATTAATCTTCCTCAATTTCGATTTCCAATCAAGGCTCACTTTAATTCTCTTTCCCTAAACTCTCTTCTCTCTCTACCCGCCACCCCCTCTCTCCTATATCCTCTCTCTACTTGATTAATGCTTCTCCATTAAGGCCCCCAATTTCTCTCATATTTAGATTAATTCCTTCCCAAGAAAATGGAACTCTATTTAAGGAATTAATTAAGTACCTCTTCCCTCCCTTTTCCATTTAGTTTAAAATTCAAATTTCAAATGACCCCCTCCCCCCATATCTGTTCTACATCAGTTTGGTATCAGAGCATGGTTACCCGGGTGCAGACTCGACGAAGTCGAGCTCTTTTCCACCCTGGGAGAATGATGCGGACATCCGACGGTGGACGTTAATCAAAGGAAGAGACGAAGATCGACGGCCGAGATCACTCCATTTTATCTTAGTTTATTAGTTGTAATTTTTATTTAAATTATGCACTTTCCATTTTTACCTTACTTAAGGGTCTTCTCCTATGTAAGCCCAAGGGGCAAAGTTGTCTTTTATTTTTTTTATAAAGCCTATATATAGAGGTCCTTGCTCTTGTATTAGACAATGATAGATTAATAAAAAAATTGTTCCTACACTTTGTTCTTGAGAGCGATGGGAGTTCTTAGGATAGTGAAAGTCCCTATGTGAGGGTAATGAAATACCCACCAGCCACAGGATGTGTCCGGGCTCGTGGATGAAGTCCCTTAGTGAAGGGTAACGCAATACCCGTCAATCTTTGGAAAAGTATGAGACTCGCGGTTTTTTTTGTCTTTATTTATTCTTTTTTTTTCTAATCGTCATCTCCATCCTCTCTCCAATCCCGCCGACTTCATCCCCTCCACCCAAACTCGCCGGCTTCTTCCCACAACCCTCTCTTCTTCCCCACCGAAATTTCCCATCCCCCTCCTAAGCCTAACCGGTCATCTTCCTCCCCTCTCCAAATTTTGTGAGCTGAAGTAAATTTTAATTTGTCCACCCCAGTAAACTGTTGCGGAGGGTGGATGGATTTTGCTTTAAATGTTTAATGGTTAGATTTTAAATTTTAAATATTTGGGATTTTGGAATTTGTGGATTTTTTTATTTTGTAGAGTTTTGGATTTTTTATGGGCTTTTGGGAGACATTTAAAAAAAATGCCCAAAATTAACCCCTCCGGTTGAGATTTACATTCAACACGGCCATCATCGGGGTGTTCGGGGTCATTTCTCTTTATGGATTGAACATTGTCAACTCTGTCGGGCTATCCATAGAGGATCGGGTTTCGTAGGCTTTATGCCCTTAATAGTGAATTCTCATTGTTATAGGCCTTGAAGGCATAATATGAATGTATTAAGACAAATATAACGGTCGCCACAACTGTATAGTTGTTTGAGAGTTCGAACCTTGTCAACTCCTATTGATCCGTATAGGAGGATCGGGTTCGAACTAGAATTCACTTATCAACCCGCGCAGCATCCCTAGACGTCACGTGTGTACCAATAACATGCTCGTCGGGGCCCATGCGGGTGTTTGAGGACATTTTATAATTGAACCATGTACACTCCTTTTGTCTGCTAAGGAGGATCGGGTTTAAAATTTGATAACCCGCGTAGCATCCCTAGACGTCACGTGTGTACCAATAACATGCTCGCCGGGGCCCATGCGGGTTTCCTAATTTCTTTTACCCCTTTTCGTGTACCTATATGTATACAAACTATAGTGCACGTGCGGTGGTATTTTGAAAGTATTTGTAGACGTCTTCTGTCTGCTTGTATGGAGGTTGCAGATCCGGTGGCGTGGTGTTGTAGTTGTGGTCGCCTTCTATCTGCTCGTATGAGTGTTGCAGATCCGGTGGCGTGGAGTAGCAGCTTCTGGATCAGTTGTTTGCTGCTTTGTACAGGTAGACTGTCGTGCACTACTCGTTGCTTTCTGTAGGTGGATCGTAATGCACTAACTAATCTCCTGTTTCTGTTTGTACGGAGAGTTGCATTTGTTATAGACATGGTCCCTTTATTCGTGGTCAGCTCTCTTTACATATAAGTCTTTTAGAACCGATCGTAGGCTTTTGCATTTGCTACTGTTCCTCTACATTTTTTTTTGTATGTAGCATTTAGTGTAGATGATATATAGGTCTTTGACAGCATTATTGAAGCCTTCTACTTGTGGGGAGAGAACTGTATTTGCTTGCATGACTGATTGTGGGCGAG